AAAATTAGTTTTCATTTTAAGCATATATAAAGGTTAAACCCTAACTTCTCCAGCCACCGAGTGGACTGTTAAAGGCCCTTGGTTAGATCAAGTTCAAGGGCCAGATGCTCCTTTTCAGGGATGCTGCACAAGTCTCCCATGCAGGGCCAGGAGGTGGTGCCATAGCGCCCTCTGCTGGACATGAGTGTGCTCTGCGCCTTCAGTCCTGACTCCTGGGCGTCAATGTGTCTGGCATCTGTCCTTCTGGGGCTTGACGGTGTTTTCCTGACCTTTATCGTCTTCACATAATTAAGTGGTATTTTAAAACACAGTGAACATCTTGGGACACTCACAGTACATTAAATTAATTTCCTGTATCTGGACTTGTCTAAATCCTATTTAATAGCTATGGGTTTTTGAAGATGATCTTATACAGCGAATCTTAACTTATATTCTTTTCTTTCCCTCTGTACTCATAATACCGTGATTTTTAGCAGTCAGCCTTAAATATGACCAGTGAACCTGTGGGTGTCCCCAGGACCCCTTAAGGGGGTCCACAAGGTCAAAACTTTTCATAATAATACTAAGCCAATAATACTAGTTACCATTTTCGCTGTATCATCATTTGCAGTGATTGTGCAAAATCAACACCCTTGAAACAGATGAGCACAAATCAAGACAGAGGCCTCTTCTAGACGACACTGATCTTTTGCCATTATGCTTTCAGTAGAAAAGAAAAAGATAAAATACCAGATACCAGTTTTATTTAGGAATGTCCTTGATGAAGTAGTAAAAATTACTAATTGTATTAAATCTCAATCCTTGATTACATGTCTTTTTAATATTCTATGTGACGAACAGCTCTTCTGCTGTCTGCCAAAGTATGATGGCCATCTCAAGGAAAAGCTCCTGTGCAATGAGTTGAGTGGAACTAGCCACTTTTTTTGAAATGTCATTTTTTTCCTGAAAGAATAACAGACACATTGTGATCATTCAGACTCAGAGATGTGGCAGACATTTTCTCAAAAAATAAATGGTGTGAACCTGGTGTATCCATAAAAATAAGTGACAGATTTTATTGCCATTTCTTTTTTAAATTAAAAAAAAAAAGCGAAGAGAATTTTGAAAAACTGGTATCTTTTCCAATGAGGTTGGTAGTGATATTAACAAATGTGATTTTTCAATATTATGTAATGAAATGTGTCAACATTTGGAAGATCTGCAACTCATTGAATGAATATTTCCCAAGTGACCAGTGCATGATGTTAAAACTATGCATGTGAGTAAAAGATTCATTCAAATTGCAAGAGAGACTAATGGATTTTTTTATACCTTTTTATTGAGGTAAAATTCACATAACATAACATTCACCATTTTAACCATTTAAAAGTGTACAATTCAATGACATTTAGTACATTCACAATGTTGTGCAACCATTACCCTATCTAGTTCTAGAACATTTTCACCTCCCCAAAAGGAAATCCTGTACCAGTTAGCAGTTACTTCCCATCCCCTTGGAACCAGTCTGCTTTCTGTCTGTGTGGATTTGCCTATTGTGGACATTTCACATAAATGAATCATACAGTGTGTGGCCTTTTGTGTGAGATGTTTTCAGGGTCCATCCACATTGTAGTCTGTGTCATTGCTTCACTCCTTTTCATAGCTGAGTAATACTCCATAGTATGGATGGTGCACACTGTGTTTATCTATTAATCTGTGATTGATATTTGGGTTTTTCCACTTTTTGCCATTATGAATAATGCTGCTATGAACATTTGTGTACAAGTTTTTGTTTAAACACCTGTTTTCAGTTCTTTTGAATACATACTAAGAGTGGAATTTCTGGGTAATATGGGTTAACTGGGTTTATGTTTAACTTTTTGAGGCACTACCATACTGTTTTCCACAGCAGCTGCATCATTTGACATTCCACCTGCAATGTATAAGGGTTCCAATTTCTACACGTTTCCCCCAACACTTCATTATCTTATGTTTTCTTTTTAGCCATATTGGTGGATATGAAGTGGTATCTCATTGTGATTTTAGTCTTGTATTTCCCTAATGATTAATGCCGTTGAGGATCTTTTCATGTGCTTATTGGAGACATGTCTATTCAAGCCTTTTGCCATTTTTAATTGGGTTGTTATTTTGTTGGTGAGTTATGAGAGTTCTTTAATATTCTAAATACAAGACCCTTATCAGATATATGATTTACTAGTATGGGAGAGTGTGGGTTGTCCTTTCACTCTCTTATTAGTATCATTTGGTACACAAAACTTTTAAAAAATATTTATTTTTATTGATTTCAGAGAGGAAGGAAGAGGGAGGGAGAGAGAGAGAAACATCAATGATGAGAGAGAATCATTAATCGGCTGCCTCCTGCTCACCCCCCACACTGGGGATCGAGCCTGCAACCCAGGCATATGTCCTGACTGGGAATCGAACCATAACCTCCTGGTTCATAGGTCGATGCTCAACCACATGCCAGCTGGGCGGTGCACAAAAGTTTTTAGTTGTTTTTTTAAAAATATATTTTGTTGATTTTTTTTTACAGAGAGGAAGGGAGAGAGATAGAGAGTCAGAAACATCGATGAGAGAGAAACATCGACCAGCCGCCTCCTGCACATCCCCCACTGGGGATGTGCCCGCAACCAAGGTACATGCCCTTGACTGGAACCAAACCCGGGACCCTTCAGTCCGCAGGCCGACGCTCTATTTACTGAGCCAAACCGGTCAGGGCAAAAAAGTTTTTAGTTTATCTTTAAAATTATTTTTTTATGAACTCCAGTTTATCTTTAAAATTATTTTTTAAATGTTTGTGCTTTTGATGTCAACTAAGAATCCATTGCCAAATCCAAGGTCATGAAGATAACCTTGTTTTACCTGATTACCTGATGTTTTCCTCTAGGAGTTTTGTAGTTTTAGCTCTTTCATTTAGTTCTTTGATCCATTTTGAGTTGACTTTTGTATATGATGTAAAGGTCTAGCTTCATTCTTTTGCATGTGGCTGTGCAGTTATCCCAGTGCCATTTTTTGAAAATTCTATTCTTTTTCCATTGAATGGTCTTGACATCCTTGTCAAAAATCAATTGACCGTAGATGTATGGGATTATTTCTAGATTCTCAGTTCTATCCCATTGATCTGCATGTCTATTTTTATCCCAGGAATGCACTGTGTCGGTTACTGTAACTTTGTGTTAACTTTGAAATCGGAAGTGTGAGTCTTCCATCTTTGTTCTTTTTCAAGATTGTGTCGGCTATCGGGAGTCCTTTGCAATGCCATATGAATTTTAGGGTCAATTTGTCTATTTTGGTAAAGCAGTTGGAAGTTTAATAGAGAATTTTTACAGGGATTGCATTGATTCTATAGATCATTTTGGAGAGTATTGCCATATTAACAATATTAAGTCTTTCAATCCATGAACAAAGATATCTTTCTGTTTATTGTGGTTATCTTTAGTTTCTTTCAACAGTGTTTTATAGTTGTCATTGTACAAGTATTTCACCTCCTTGGTTAAATTTATTCCTAGGTATTTTTTCTCTTTGATACTATTGTAAGTAGGGTTGTTTTCTTAATTTCCTCTTCACAGTGTTCATTACTCAGAAATGTAACTGATTTTTGTATGTTGCTCTTATATACTGCAACTTTTATGAATTCATTATGAGCGCTAATTGTCTTTTATGGATCCTTTAAGATTTTTTATATTTAAGATCATGGTGTCTGCAAATAGAGATAGTTTCATTTCTTCCTCTTCCATTTGGCTGCCTTTTATTTGTTATTGTTTTCCAATTGCCCTGGCCGGAACTTCTGGTACAATGTTGAATAGAATTGGCAAGAGTGTACATAAACAACAGTGGTTGTCCTGTACACTGAAAGGTTGTGGCACTTACCCAGGTTGTGGGTTCCATCCCTGGTTGGGGTGTGTACAGGAGGCAACCGATTGATGTTTCTTTCTCTCCCTTTCTCTAAATTCAATGGAAAATATATCCTCAAGTGAGGATTTTAAAAAAAGAAGTGATGAGTGAAACAGTATTCCTCTCGTTCCTAAACCCAGCCCTGCTGCACTTTCTGGAATACTTGTTCAACCTGCCTTTTTGCAGAAGCATTGCTGAAGTCTTTGCCTTTCCTGGTATTTGAGGACAGACAATGTATGCTTTAGGTTCACTGCTTTTTATTGCAGTTCTCTGCCTATTGTGGTGGGCCACAGCAGAGTTTAAATTTCCATGTACAAGTCAAGGTCAAATTCAGCACATACAAACGTGGTAGCCACGCACAGTGGGGTGTTTCTTCCTTTGCTTAGACCTGTGGCACCACTTCAGTCCTCACGTCCATGAGATCCTTAGAACCCAACTAAAAAGTCCCCCTCCCTCAGGAAGGCCTGCCTGATAGCTCCGTTCTCATTGCCGCATATCCCTCTTTGCACAGCTCACACACACTTCATAAACATTCAGGAGCTTATCTCTGTGACATGTCCAGTGACCCCAGGGTCCAATGCCTCTGATGGCAGGGCCTGGGTCTTTGTCCTTGTTGGTATTTTCCCAAAGCATCCAGGAGAGAGACCTTGGATTTGTGACAGGACAGGCTGGGCAGGAAGTCAGTGCTGCCAACTGTCCTTGGGCTCTCTTGGTCATTTATTTTCCCTAGCAACAGATGACGTGTGTGGGGAGCAGCAGGTGATTATTCTCTGGCTTTGCTCACATTTGAATGTATGCAGTGACTCAATGTTCATGGTGTGCCTGTGCACATGCAGCCCATGTTCACATCACAACTTCATCCGCTGCGTGCGCTCCTCGGGCTCCTGGGCTCATCTGCATGTAACGAAGTAACACGCCTGGCTGTAGCTTCAACTCACGACTTAACCCATCTCCCCTGCCTGCATTAAGCCTTATTTTTATTTTGTAGGCGCTTGAATCATTTATTTGGATATTAATAAAAACAAGTCTTGGCTGATGCTAACCATCTGATTTCCCTTTTTTTTTTCCATTTTGTTTTGTTTTGTTTCTGCACACATTTTCTTTAGCTTGAAATGGCGATTGAAAACCTCCAAAAAAGCGAAGGGATCACATCACACAAAAGCGGTTTACTCAACAGCCATGTAAGTGTGTGTCGCCTGGTGGTCTGCCCCACTGTGCACGTACCTGCATGGGCATTTCAAAAATAAGTGAAGGAAATGACTTGATACCTTTAAAATGTTGAAAGGGAGAGAAAAGCTAGCCTAGAGTTCTATATGCAGCAAAAATATCCTACAATGTAAAGGGGATGGAGGCAAGTTCTTCATTCCTAAAGGTAGATGATCAGAGTATCTACTTCTTCAGGGGCATGTTATGGGGATTAGATTATTTAATACACATGACAGGCTTCCAACAATGCCTGGCAGATCACAAGCGTTATAAATAAAGTTAATACTAAAATAAGTAACAATAACAAAGTATGACACAGGATAGGGAATGCTATAAAGTTTCTTAGCTAAGTTTCCTATGATCAGTTCTTGTGGGAGCCGAGGGGAGGTAATTTGAGAAAAATGCAAAGCAACACTTTCCTACTAATTTGGGCTTTGTAAAAAATCTTTCTCCTTCACTTGCCTCCTGGGGAAAAGCGTGATTGTGTGTCCCGTGCCAGGAGGAGGCAAACGTCTTTGTCCCTGGGCAGCCTCATGGGGCAAGATGGCACTGGTGACAATTAAGAGTCTCTATTTCCTGGGACAGTTTAGAAGGAAAGCTGTGGTCTCCTCACGCTCCTTCCTTTTCCCTCTACTCCTCCTAATGCTCTCAGTTTAGCTTTATGTGGAACTGGAAATTTAAAAATAGGACAGGCCACTGAAGTCACAATGTGCTTCTCAAGCACTTAGGTTGGGATTTGACCCCAAATGTCTTTAATTCTCTTGAAAATTCAAACATCAAGAAAAAGAAGTCCCCTGTAGTCAATCACGATCCTAACTGTGGCCCCATTAAGACTTTCGTACTGGCCAAGTGTTGCCTGAAAGGAAGTGGTTCTGAGGCAGAGTGGGCTAGAGAAAGGCCCCAAAACTTCGGGGTTTATGGGTTGGCACAGGCGAGGCCAGCTGCTCCAGGCACACGTGATGAGGGTCTGCACTCCTCAGCCTTGGAGGCGAGTTACTAGAAGGAAAAGCAGTCTCACTGAGTTGTCTCAGGAAAAGCACCGAAGCCAAGTGTTGCCTGAAAGGAAGTGGTTCTGAGGCAGAGTGGGCTAGAGAAAGGCCCCAAAACTTCGGGGTTTATGGGTTGGCACAGGCGAGGCCAGCTGCTCCAGGCACACGTGATGAGGGTCTGCACTCCTCAGCCTTGGAGGCGAGTTACTAGAAGGAAAAGCAGTCTCACTGAGTTGTCTCAGGAAAAGCACCGAAGACCAGCAGGCCCCCCCCCAGGGCCCCCCCCCCCCAGGCTAGGTGGGTCGTGGCCACCCTGTTGCCCATCACTGCTGGACAGTTGTCGCCTGTGGGCACAGCTGGGGAGGGAAATTCTTCAGTGAGTGCTGGGAGGGGAGGATACCTACCCCCACCCTGTCAAACTCCCAGCACACTGGTTAGAATGTGTGCAGAATGACAGTCTGCTCCAGGGACCATCTCTGTTCAGTGGGGACAGGCTTGCTTCAGCTGTCAAGCAGGCATACATGGCCACGTCACAGCCTGTGGGCCCGGCGCTAGGTCAGTCCTGGGGAGAGCCCTGTGAGGAAGGCAGGATGGGGGCGCAGACCCCAGCACAGCATGTGTGTCCATGGGAATTCTAAAATGTCTCGGGAAACGCATGCGCTGCTGGTTTGGCTGCAGGGCTGCTCCTGGCTTTCTAACACTTTTCTTTTGGAAGGCAGACTTTCCGGGGTGCTTCCAGCCAGTTTATATTCCTGAGTTGACTTCCAAGCAGGAAAATCTCCCCGTGTTCGTTTTCTCCCTGCTGATCTGTGGTTGAGCCTCCTTCCATCAGGAGCTGTTAGCAGGAGCTGGGGCTTGGCAATTTGGAGTCAAAGGGAATAGACAGATCTTTCTAAAGAGTTGACTGTGCACGCTGAGTGGAGTCCCCTGGAGCTGTCCTTGCAGATGTGAGAGCGGGAGGAAGATGTAAAGAGATGGGCAGTGTGTCCTGTTGACACCTGTCGTAGTCTCAGTTGGCTGAGCCTGCCCTCTGGCCACGGCTCAGTTGTCACCACAGCTGCCTACATCAAAGATCGCTTTTGTATTGGGCGACAAGGGCCACAATCCCCAATCCTTTGCCAGCCCAATCCAGAGCAGATGAGCATGGCTGTCACAGTGTCCCCCCAGCATCGGGGCTGTGGGAGCAAAAGGAACAAGAGCTTGGACTGCGAGGGCAGGAGCTCGGCGGTGTGAGAAAACCCGCCTACACAAACCAGTCTGCCCAGGAAGCCAGGGCAGAGGCTCACCTCTGAAACTACCACTGTTTTCTTCCCAGGCACTGTCTTGGGGTGGGTGCGGGTGGTGATGCCTAGAGCCCAGGAGGGCTGGGCAGCATGTTCCAGATCCAGCCGATGTCAGGGTCCCCCCAGAGCTTCCCATGCTGCCCTTGGGGGCTCAGACCTAGAGGTCTGCAGGTGAAGGAACCTTACAGCCTAATGTGGAAATCGCACAGGAAGGGGCCTCACGTGAGCGGTCTCTAACATTGGGGTGGCTGTGACTTGGTGGCATGAGAACAGGGATAGCTGTTTCAGAGGAAGGAGGTGATGAAGATGGTGCTGGGGATGAAGACACCACCCATTGGTGTCACCGCGGCCTCCCACTGACATGCCTGGCCTCAATCAAGGTCCCCCACCAAGAGCATTGGAGGTGCCGGGCTTCTCCCAGAACCACCACCCTACTGTCCCCCAGATCACTGTGTGAGAAGCTTCCCACCTCCCCCCAACACTCACTGACTCGGGGACCCCACAACATGTTCACCAAGTCACTGTTATGGGGAGGCAGCCACTGTCTACTAAAATGAACTCTTATTTCCAAACCCTGCTTTTATTAATTGTATTCAGATTATATGCCGTTTTTGTTGTTAATCTTCATCAGATTGTATTTTTTTCCCCATTGATTTTTAGAGAGAGTGGAAGGGAGGGGGAGAGAGAGAAACATCAATGTGAGAGAGACACAATTGGTTGCCTCCTGCACTTGCCCCAACCAGGGCCGAAGATCAAGCCTGCAACCCAAGTACTTAATGCTCTTGACTGGAATTAAACCCGAGACCCTTCAGTCCGAGGGCCATCTTTCCACTGAGTCAAACTGGCTAGGGCCTATATGACTTTTTAATTTAAAAAAAAACCAACAACACAAATTGTCAAAGATCCTTTAGCCTTTAGTTGATGGCCAACCGCAGGCCAGTATAATGACCAAGCTGTCACCTTCAGACTAAGATGGGACTTGGCTAGAGTGGCAGCTTCATGGCATGGGTCCCTTGTCCAGAAGTTGTTCCAAATTATTGTGACATGCCTAGCAGTGGTCTTGACAGGACCATTATTCCTTCACTATTCCTGACTCACCCTCCCTGCCTTGCTGACCCCATCCCTGCTTCTGTCAAGACAGGTGGTTTTCCTGCAGGGCATCTGCCTGGACCCCTCTCCCAACTCCACATTTTAGTGTCCAGAGCTGAGCCCTGACACCCCCCTAACCCCTCCTCCTCTCACCATTGCCCCTGCTCACCAAGTACTTCCAGCGCTCATCCTTGCTTTCCGCCTCCTCCCGCACCTCACCTGATGCTCCTTGACGTCACCTTCAGAACAATCCACGATCAGACCGCTTCTCCCATTTCCACCACTATGGCCACACACACACACACCATCTCTCCCGTGGATTGTTAAGCCAACCCTCGGCTCCCACGCCCTTCTCATGGCAGCTGCCAGAGTGATCCTACTAAAACCTAAGTCAGATCCTTGCACCTCTCTGCTCAGAAGCCTGCAGGGCCCCCATTGCCCTCCAAGTAGAAGCCAAGTTCATGGAAATGGCCTTGCAGGACCTCCCCATCCGTTCCCTGCTCTCAACTCCTCCCTCTCTCCTCCTTGCTCACTCTGCTCCAGCCACACAGACCTCCTCACTGTTCCTCCAACACCCAGGCACAGTTCTGCCTCAACAGGCCTTTGAATGGGCTGTTCCTTTGCCCGAGACTCTTCCCCAATGGCTCCCTCCCTCAGCTTCTTCATGTCTTTACTCATTTGCCCCTCAAATCAGTTTCCTTTCGTGGTAACTTCTCAATGCAAAAGAGAGAGGAAGTGTAACCAACTGTTCTTTTGGAGAATGGTTTCAGTTCTCCCTGTAGTCACTTGTACTTGGAGGAAGATAACTATGCATTTTTAATCTCATGATGACCTTGATGTCAGCTCAACAGAATCACCCAAACAGAGAAGTCTACTTTTAATTTAAATAACATGGGGTTGGGGAAAAGGAATCATATTTCCTGAGCCTTTCTCTAGTCTCACCCGAAGTTCTCTTTCTAACCATTACCTTCGGTAATGGGCCAGGTTTTGAACAGCGGGCCAGGTATTAGCCTTCCTCCCTCAGGACCCCTGGTGCAGTGCCCCTTCCAGCCCACCACCCACACAATATGCCCACCCTCTAGCCCAGGACCAGTGTCATCACGTGGCCCCTGCCCCATCCACCATCGTCGTCAGTGGGGTTGTCTGGACAGAGGTGGCAGCTTAGATAGACCCCCACTTCCCACAAGGATCCTGCCTCAGGCTGGTTCCTGTGCACATGGCTCCTGCCTATCTCCAAAGCCCGTGTGTGGTTAAGGCCTTTTGTACTCACATAGCAGAGTGGAAGCCAGAATCAAACTACAGCTTTGGGGGCATTGTGCTTGGGGCTCCCAGGTGGGCGTGTTGCCCCATGTGGGGACTTCGCTTTCTACAAGGGTGGCTCCTGCCCGTCCAACACTAGCGACCTTTGGGGGCAGCAACTTCAACTTTCCATTCTTTTTCCTGCCTTGGCCTCAGCACAAAGTCCTCCACATGAGCCCATAGGTATCTCACTCAGTTTCTATCTGTGCTCCGCTCGGTCAGGACCTGCAAGAGACATTAGTCCGTCTCCATGGACAGCTGGCCAGTGCAGGGCATGGTGCTCACGGGCCCCTGAGTTTTCTTGAATCTGCCTCTTTCTCATCAGAATTGATCTTCGTTCCCGTGGGTTTAGGAGACATTTGGGGTTTAAGCAGCGTCGGGGGCGTGTGCATGTTTAAATGATTATAAGGACAAATTGTACGAGGTCTCCATCCATGTATATTTTTCTCAATTAAGTCAAGCAGAATGAAAATTGAAGGAATAAAGAAGCAGGTGAAAAGAAGCTACTAAGTAACGTGCCCAGAATCTTTTGCACCCAAATCCATGACAGTAGCAATGAATTTCCTCACCATGTGAAGTGAAGGGAAAGCATGTGGTTAGCATTTTGGTGTTAGGGGGAATCTGACAGTCAGGACTGTGTCTCTTTCTCCAGCTCCAGTGGCTGTTAGATAACTACGAAACCGCTGAAGGCGTCAGTCTCCCCCGAAGTTCTCTTTATAACCATTACCTTCGGCACTGCCAGGAGCACAAGCTGGACCCTGTGAATGCCGCCTCCTTTGGGAAACTGATTCGCTCCGTGTTTATGGGCCTGAGGACCCGGCGGCTGGGTACCAGGTGGGTAGAAGGGGGTGTCTGACAGCCCACACACCCACCCGTTCTTCCTCTTTCTTTACGTAGAAATCAAGCTTTTGGAGAACATGGGGCTTCCTCCTCCTGCCCACACTTCCTGACTGACATGCCTCTGGGTGGACTTGGAGCTGCCCCAAATTGGCGGCAGCATTGGCCTGGCCAGGGCCAAGGTGCGGGCTGTGGTTCAGTTCTCTTCAGATGACAGGACGCAGGGGTTCGCTTCAGCTCTCTCTTTGTTTGAAATTTTCCATAATAATAGGTTTTTTTAAAGCTGCCTCGGGATTATCTAATAGAATTGGATTTACTATTTCTTGATGCTTTTCACTGTACTTGGACCAACCTACCATGGCCTGCCCTTGGCCTAAATCTGCCAGGGAACCTCATGTGTCATAAACTTCACCAGACGATAATGCGAACACCCCTCTCACTAGAAAAAAAAGTGGCCACAGTCTCCTTAAAGTGAGTGGCCTAGAGATCATGTGGCCGTGATCAGTGACAAGCCTAGCACTTGCTTTCAGTGAAGTCATATAGAAGTGGGTGGCAGGGAGCATTCATGCCCTCTCAGAAGCCGGCATCCTGGCCAAGAGAATGGGCAAGTCTTCTCTTGTCCTCTGCCACTTTGATCCTTGACAGAGAATGTCTTTACAGAATGTAGCCACAGAACTGGTTTTCTGACTGCAGGACTTCTCAGAGCCTTTATCATACTAAAATACGAGAGGGGAACCTCCCAGAGCGGGAGGTAGTGTTTAGAATTTTCTAAACCTCTCTGGCCATGGGACAGCTTGTAAGCATTTCCCATAAGGTCCAGAAAACACTGAACCCAAGGGCCCAAAGTGCAGGTGCCAAAACAGAGCACCTCCTGTCCTTTAGGACATCTGCATGGAGAGCTGACCCCGGGTGTTTGGTTTCTAGGGGCAACTCAAAGTATCATTACTATGGGATCCGTCTAAAGCCGGACTCGCCCCTGAACCGGCTGCAGGAGGACACCCAGTACATGGCCATGCGGCAGCAGCCTGTGCATCAGAAACCGAGGTGAGTTACTGGGTTGAGGCTGGCCTGAGGAAGGGGACAGGGCCTGGATTTTTTTAGGGAAGATACTTCTCAAACATTAAATACATTCATATGAGGGGACTCCCATTCTGCAGTGGAGAAAACAAACTCATTAACCTCAGTCTCCAGTGTCCTGGGAGAGCCAAGGCATTCACCTCCACTGACATGAAGGGAGGCCAGCAGGACTTGGGGCCGAGGATGCAACCTCAAGCTAACAGAACTTACGGAGCATACTCTTTAAAAAAAAAAATAGACATTATTTTTTAGAGTGGTATTAGATCACAGCAAAATTGAGTGAAAGATACATATACTCCCTGCCTCACACGCACAGCCTCCCCACTATCCACATCCCCCGACAGAGTGGCGCCTTTGTTTCAGTCGGTGACCCCAATAAAGTTCCAATCGATGACCCCAATAAATCGATGACTCCAACAGCAGATGAATGGGTCATTAAAATGTAATATATATATATATGCAATAGAATAGGATTCAGCCGTAAAGAGGAAGGACATCTGACACATAACAATAGGGATGAACCTGGAGGACATTATACTCAGTGAGAGAAGCCAGACACAAAAGGACAAATATTGTAGGAGGTTCAGACATAGAAGGTCCCTAGAAGAGTCAGAGTCATAGAGACAGAAAGTAGATGGTGGGAGCCAGGGGCTGGGGAAAGGCAGGGATGGGTTAGTGTTTAATAGGGACATAGTTTTAGTTTAGGAAGATAGAAATTTCTGGAGGGGGATGGTGGTGATGGTTGTACAACTATGTGAATGTACTTAATGTCACTGAGCTATACACTTAAAAATTATTAAGGTGGTACATTTTTGTTATGTGCATGAAATTCGTACATGGTGGGGGGTGGAAGCTCCCTCAGCCCAGCCTGCATCCTCTCGCAATCCAGGACCCCCTGTGGGATTGGGCCTAAACCAGCAGTC